AAGCTTCAGTGTGTTCTAGTTATGCTTAAGCCAATGTGAGTTCAGAAATCAGTTTTGATGTCATTGCCTTGGGAGAATTGTGTAATGCGATTATGACCTGTTGTGTGGGCCGTGGCAGATGGCTTATTTTGTTTGAATAATATATGAATTGACACCAAATTTCTCATGCGATTCGCCGTATCACAAGAATTTGAGTAGTCTCATAAGACAACTCAATCAATTTTGATCACGGCCTTGAGATTTTAATGTTTATTAGGTGATCTATTGGTTTTCCTTGTGCTATTGCATTTGATGCTATTGCCTTAAAGCAACCATAATGTTGTTCAAAAGCATTTTATAGGGATTAAAATAACGGAAATATTTGGCTTCCCACTCCATATATGTTCGCTTCTCTCAAGAAAAAAAAATTTCCACTCCCTGCTCCTGTCTCGCCCATCCCATCTCTCGGTCTCTCTCACATCCGTTGGCAGTAGCAGAGCCTCACGCCGCCACCACTGCCTCCTTCCTCCACCCAAGCCAACCATGCTGCCCCCTCCCTCAGTTCGTGCTGCGTCTCCCCAGCCTCTTCCTGAACCTAGTGCCGTTGGGATGTCTCGCCGCCGCTGCCGCCCTTGCCTATGGTGGCTGGGCGCACGTGCCAGGGCGCCTCATATCGTCCCCGGTCGAGCCAAGGGGCACCCACGAGCACGGCCCGCTGGTGGTGCTCGCGCGCCGCTGCTCGCCGTCGGCTCCTACCCTGACGGCCGAAATCGACCGCCCTAGTCTCTCCCGCCGTATGTTGCAAACGTATGTTTCAATTGTTTCAGATGTTTCCGAGGTATGTTGCAAGTGTTTTATATGCATGTTGCAAAAGTAGATCGGGATGTTGATATGTTGTAATTGCTATACACGTATCAGTACTACACAAAATCTTTTGCGAGGCGTTTTCAAAATGGCCTCGGAGGCGGGCGGGCCGGCTGCCCGCCTCGGTTATTCGTGGTAGGGCAGCCGGCCCAGCAACCACCTCGGTTAATGTTTTACCGAGGCGGGCAATGTAATATAACCGCCTCGGTTAATGCCTATTAACCGAGACGATCATTATAACACAACCGCCTTGGTTAATATTTTACCGAGGTGGACAATGTAATATAACCGCCTTGGTTAATGCCTATTAACCGAGGCGGGCATTATAACGCAACCGTCTTGGTTAATCCATTTTCAGAGGTGGTCACCTTATAAGGCCCGCCTCAATAAACAGTGGCCAAGCAGGCAACTCATCTAGGCCCGATATCCGCTCATTCTATATATACCGATAGTTAGGGTTTCACTTTCACTGATCTCAGCTCCTCCCTCTCCCTCCCTCTCAGACGTGGCGGCTCTCCCTCGCTCTCCCCAACGCGCCATCTCTCTCCCTCTCTCCGCCCCTCCCTCCACTCTCTACCGGTGGTTCAGGGCGCCGTGCACCCATGTCGTGCGCCCAGCGGCGAGGGCCCGCGCGCGTCCACGGTGGAGGCCGCTCGGTGGTCGGTGCGGGGCGCTGGCGGTGCCCATCTCCTCCACAGCGGCGACACCTTCTCTCCTCCCACCGGTGGCGCGGCTACGACGTGCACGGGGAGATCTCCGGTGGTGGGCCCCACGCGTAGATCTGACTTCACCGACGGCCATGGCAGCGGATCTCCCTCCATTGACGACGGCCATGGCGGTGGATCTACCACCATCAATAGCCACGGCGGGCGGATCTGCCTCCACCGATGGCCACAGCGGGTGGATCTGCCTCCATCGATGGCCATGGCGGCGGATTCGCCACCATCAACGGCCATGGCTGGCGGATCCGCCTCCACTGACGGCAACGGCGGGCAGATCTGTGAGCGGTGGATCCGGTTCACGGTAGTGGCGCCGCGGTGGCCGGCGTTAGGGCTAGAAACGGGCTCGTCGGTGGGCTCGGAAATGGGCTCGCCGATGGCTCTGAGTTATTTTTGTTTTTTTATTCATTAACAGAGGCGGACGTTTGTAAGGAGCCTACCTCAGTTAATACGATTAACCGTGATCTTTGCACCGAGGCGGTTGGCTTGCCCGCCTCGGTTAAGCCATTTCGCCCGCCTCGGTTAAATTTCCTGTAGTAGTGTATGTTGTAAGACTTTCAAATGTTTCATTTGTTTTTTCAGACGTATGTTGCAAGTGTTTTTATTTGGATGTTGCATATATTTCACACATATGTTGCAAGTTTTTTTTATCTAGATGTTGCATATGTTTTGCAATGTCTTTTCAAGTGTTTTCAGATGTTTTGGCAAGTATTTCAGACGCATGTTTCGAGTATTTCATCTGTGTTCAGACACATGTTGCAAATGTTTCATCTGAATGTTTCAAAAGTAAATTGGGTGTTGTACATGTTGCAATGTGACTCACCTGTCACAGCCACCTGCTACAGCTGCTGGGGCGTCGTGCATGCGTGTAGAAAGCGGAGGGATGGAGCGCGGTGCAACTGCGGATGCGGGAAGCGCGGGAGCAGTGCGGGCGGTCCCGCCTGGCGCGAGCGTGTAGCAGCCGCGAGCATCCGAACTTCCAGGCACTAGCACTGCGCTCAAAATAATATTCACTAGTTACTTAGCTGGACCATAATGGTATTCAAAAGCATTTTATGGGAATTAAACTAATATTCACTGGTTACCAAGCTGGATGGAACACAATGAGCCTGTTCGCTGGTTGGTTTCTGGGCTGATAAGCCCGGCTGATGCTGGTTTGTTGCGAGAGAAAAACACTGTTGGCTGACTGATAAACCCTAGCTGAAACCAATAAGCGAACCGACTGAATATATAGATGCCATAGAGTAGCTCATAGTAATAGATGCCCATAAATTTATGGACTACCCATACTTATAGTAGTCTACAATAATAAATATCCTAGACTACCCTTAAATAATAAAAAATATTACTTTTTTTACTCCTCCCTCTCCCTATTCTAGATATCTAGATACAGGATCGTAGATATACAGCGTGTTCGGCTGGTCCGTGCTACAGTAAATTTCGGATGGTTTTGGATGAATAAATAGTGTTTTTATTTCAGGCAGAACCCATCTTATTAGCTGAAAAATGTGAGAAAATAATAGCAGTTATATGAATTGATCACGTGGATCCCATATATGGACTACTTATACATTTGTGTGGTTGTCCTTACATCGGTCATGTAGTCAGCAATATGTTAGGAGGATGTTACTATAGGATTGGGGGAGGAAGCTCGTCTCGATCGTGGACTTATGGCAACAGCGGGTGCATAGAATGGAAAGGTGGCCTGGTCCTATGATGACGGTGGGTGCTAGAGTGACAAGGTGGCATGGGAAAAAAATGTAAGATGAAAATGCATGGTCCTATGATGACGGTGGGTGCGTGGAGTGGCGAGGTGGCGTGGGATAAAATAAAATATTGATTGGTAAAAAATTTCTCTTGTTTCTGATCGTATTGTAATAGAACGACCAACCTATTTTTTCGCTTTTCAACAAAAATCTAAATTACCTTGAAGATTAGAAGGATAGATAAAATTCTAATGACCGATGGACAAGATTTACACTGGCGTTAAATAATAATAAGAAATTTCTTTATCATTTTTACCATAAGTACTCCATTGTCTTTTGCCTATTTTATCCCCAACATTGATTCAAGTTACTGTAAATATTTTAACCCGGACGTAGTTGCGTCTTTCTATGTCATCTTCCTAATGTTATATTGAGCAACATGTTTCAAGCTATATACAGTTTTGAATACGTGAATTGCGCCTCTCTTAAATGTATACGTTGGTAACGAACTTTGCATTTCCTCGCAAAAAAAAAGAACTTTGCATTAACTAAAATACTAAAGTGTGTTCTACTTTCTTTCTAGTACTAATTAGTTTGTTTCCAATATTACAATCTTGAGCTACCCATTTCAAGTTGTGTACAACTTTGATCATGCAAATTGTAGTTTTTAATCTCGTAAATGCATGCCACGTACGACGTACATATGCAATAACAAACATGTGAGTATTTTGCTTGTTTTTTAAATATTTGAAGGGGCATATAATGGAAAAGCACCTAAGTGGATATTTTTTGCTCCTTGTAAGGACACTAGTGAATAATTTCAAAACAGATGCAGTGAAATTCTGGGTTTCATAATAGTGTGATGGATAATTTATAAACAGGACCTCCTTTTATTCTAAATTGTATGATATTTTAGTTTTTCTAAATTTATAGTTTTTACTATGTATCTAGTCAGAATGTTTTATAATTGAGAAGTTTATATTACATACATACCTAGTCAGAACGTCTAATTTGAAATGAAGAGAGTATATGGTATTTTTTCACAAGCATAGCGTGGAGACATTTGTGTGACATGAAACCTGTAACGTGACGGCAAACAACTTTATAATATAATACTGTCCTGTTCGTTTGGCTGATAAGGCATAGCTGAAAGTACTGTGTTGGCTAATTTGTTGTGAGAGAAAAGCACTGTTCGTGGCTTATAAGCCAAGCGAACAGGGCGAACAAACTAAGGGTCTGTTTGTCACAGCTCACAAAACTTCATGAGCTGTTGTGAACTGTTTTATTTGCCAAACACTCGTTTCTAAAATAGATTCAATCATGAAGTTGTTTTTCTCTTCCCCCACAAAGACATGAGTTGAGATGAAACTGAAAAAATTAGCTTATTCCAACTCTCTCCTTCATTTCTCTCTTCTATCTATGCATAAAGCTGTTTTGCCAAATAATTTTTCTAAAATTATTCAGCTTTATTTAGAAAGTTGCTCATAAAACTATTTTCTTAAAAACAACTTTAGCAGTGAAGTTAAGTTGTGCCAAACACGCCCTATAGCTTACGGGTACGTGTTCCAGCGTTTGAATTATAACGCGCTTAACTGCGTGGGTGTTACGCTATATATCATATACGGATCTTTATATATTATAAAACCTCCCACTCTTTGTTATAAAAGAACATCACGACACATGGTACAGTTGCGGACAAGAATACCACCCACGAAGCGTACAGTTGCGAACGATGAGGTCGTACTACCCGACTGGCTCGCGGAACATCAGCTCGTCGTGGCGCCAAGACGACCACGCCGCTCCGACGCACGACGGCGCGGATGGCCATTCTTCCCAGCAGTTTCCCGCTCCAAGCGTCACGGCAGCCATTGCGAGCTACCTTGCCTCCCAGCCGACCCAGCAGCCATCTCCTCCTCGCTGGCACAACTACACGCCGCCGCACCGTGCTGCGCCGGCCGCCCCTTGGCAGTGGGCGTCCAGTACGTTTGCGCCGCCTCCCCCTACCCTCTCATCACCCTGGACCCCGTGGCCAAACGCGACGGTCGTCGTCCCAGCAGGCGAGACCCCTGGCGACGCCTCGCCCGGCGGGGCCGGGGGTGGGGGCGGGGCGTGTGTGGCGGGCGACGACGACGCGACCGGCTGCCTGCGCTTGGCGAGGCGCGTCGGGCGCAAGGCAGCCGGCGAGGGACGCAACTTCATGCTCTCGCCGCTGTCGCTCCACGCTGCGCTCGCGCTGGTGGCCGCGGGCGCGAGCGGCGAGACGCAGGCGGAGCTGCTGCGTTTCCTAGGGTCGGCGTCGCTCGACGAGTTGCGGCACGCCGCGGTGACGAGGCTGGTCGCCGCGCTGCGCGGCATCCCGCAGACGTCCTTCGCGTGCGGCGTCTGGGTGGACCGCCGGTGCGCGCTCCGGGAGGAGTTCGCGGACGTCGCCGGTGCCGTCTACGCCGCCGTCGCGGAATCCGTGGACTTCGTGTCACAGGTGCGTCCTGATTTATTTGTTTGCTATTCTGTCAACGTGAAGCAATCTTTGTGAATCTCAGCAGCACATGCCACATGGAAACAAGTAACTGAATGGTTCCATGTTGTAGGCCGAGGAGGCGAGGCAGCGCATCAACGACTTCGTGAAGGACGCGACGAAAGGGCTCATCGGCGCCGTCCTCCCTTCCGGCTCCGTCGGCTTGTCCACGGTGGCCGTGCTTGCCAACGCTCTCTACTTCAAGGGACATGGGCTCAGCCGTTCGACCCGTCAAGAACCTTCGACGCGCCGTTCCATCTCCCCGACCGCGCCACCGTGCGCGCGCCGTTCATGACGACGAGCAGGTATGAGCAGCAGCAATACGTCGCCGTGTTCCCCGGTTTCAGGGCCCTCAAGCTGCCCTACAGCTGCAAGAGCGGCCACCAGTGGCACCAGGCCGCGTACTTCTACATGCTCCTGCTCCTCCCAGACGACGACCACGGCCTCGGAGATGTCTACGACAAGGTCGTCTCGACGCCGGGGTTCATCAGGAAGCACACGCCCGTGTGCAAGGTCCCGGTTGGGCGGCTCATGGTCCCCAAGTTCAAGTTCACGTTCGGGTTCGAGGCGAGCGAGGAGATGCAGAGGCTGGGTGTCACCAGCCCTTTTGGAGGCGGCGACTTCTCCGGCATGTTCGCCGGCGGAGGTGGGGCTTCCATCGCGGGAGTGTACCATAAGGCCACCGTCGAGGTGGACGAGGAGGGCACCGTGGCAGCCGCGGCCACGGCCGTGTCCATTTGCTTAAGCCGGAGCGCCATCCCGCCGGTGGATTTCGTGGCGGACCGGCCCTTCTTGTTCGCCATCGTTGAGGAGAGGAGCAGCGCCGTGCTCTTCTTCGGCCATGTGGTGAATCCACTGGCGGAGTGATCCACCCACCCGCAGGCCGCAGCTGCAGAGGTGGCTAAACTATTTGCCATTTCCTTGTTCATCGAGAGGAATGCCAAGACGCCGTTGTTTTTCTGAATGCTTGTGCCATTTTCCCAACATAATATCTCTCACTTTAGTGATGTGAACGAGACAAAATAATGGATCTGGAAAAATCGTAATTGCTGTATATTTTCCCTATCTCTATTATTTTAGTGATCTGAAAGATATGACATAATGGATTTCGAAATTTTAGGAATGAAAAATCAATCCTTTTTTCGACTACTTGATCTCCATATTGTTGGGGGAAAAAAAGGAAATTCCGGTTACTTTAAGTTAGTCAACAAAAATATAGTAAACCATGACGCTAAAAAGCTACAAGCAAGTGTTTAGTACTACACGATCTAAGGGCAGCTCCAGTGTAAAGATAGAACTGAGCTAACAAAGTTCAACTCCATTGCCAGAAGTTCCAACACTCTAGCGCTAAATCGATAAGTAGGACCTGTGTCAGAATTAAAAAAGAAAAACAAAAACCAGCTATGTCCTTTTCTCCATGTGCTAGTGTTCCATTGTGCTGTACTTGTACGCAAACGGTTACAGAGAAGACTCTTTATAACCATTGTTGATCATAGCAAAAGGTTAGAATGGACCGGTTGGTCCTATGGTTTTTAATCCTTACATTGCCTCACATTGAGGAGGTTTTTGAAGCAAATTGTTTTGTCAATTATGAATGTGATACGGTTTCGCTGCTGATCTGTCGGTCGAAGTACCCCTCGTTGTTCCTCACGAGATGAGAACCTAATTGGTGCATCGTTACTGCCCTTCGATTCAAACATTTTCTACACTGAATTTTTTGAAAGTTTTATTAAATATAATAATTGTTGTGTGTAGTTTAATGATGTGTGAAAGCTGCGTGAAGCGAACGCTGTGCCATGAGCTCGCCATTGCTACCATCAAAGCTCTACGACCTAACCAAGCTGTACGCGCTTGCCGAATGGTTTTACTCGTTAGTTTACTCAGAGCCTCCGTTGACTTGGAGCAAGCTTACTTGTCACTGAAGAAACTAGCGGCTCAATACAACCCCGTTTCTCCATAAATGGAGCACCAGACACGCAACATTCTCATCCCACTCAACCATCCAGCCTTTCAATTTGTGCAACCGCTGAAGCCACTCGGCGACCCCGGTGAGTTTCCGTCGAGAGAACGCACGGCAGTCGCAGGGGGCATCTTCGCGCCAATTTTCCGTAAAAAGTTTTTCTTTCTTTCTGTAAGGAACATACAAAATTATCAACTACCACTCTACCGGTACGTTCTTTCGTTTCGGTTCCCCGGCGGTGGTGAGCCAATAGATCCCCGGTCCCCGCCATGCTAGTCAGCGTGACGAACCATACGCCTCGCGCTTCGTCCTCAGCAGCCGGAGCGCTCTGAGCTGAGGCCTCGCAGCTCACGTGCGCAATGAGCACACCGCGTCGCGGCGTCCAGCACCACGGCGACGAGCGCGCACGTGCCCGTGTTCGCGCAGCAGGCACCTGTTGATCCGTTCCCGTGGAGCATGCCCACGTCGTTCGCGAACCCATTTTATGGTCCATCGACGCTGAACGCGCCGTGGGGACCGCCCGGCGAGGTGCCCTTCGCCGGCTTCGGCGCCGGGCCTGCGGCTCCGGAACCGGAATGGTGACACCAGCGACCGGATGTGTTCGCTGGCACCGCCCGCCGTTCTGTCCCAGCGGTGGTGCCGCCTGACCTCGACGCGGACGGCGGCGGCGGGTCGTGCCTGCCGCTCGCGAGGCAGGCTGGCCTGCGGGCGGCGGGTGGCAACTTCATCGTCTCGCCGCTGTCGTTCCACGCGGCGCTCGCGCTGGTGGCCGGGGCGCGCGGCAGGGCGCTCATGCCGGAGTTCAGGGACGCCGCCTCGTCGCGCTACGCGGCGGTCGCGGAGTCCGTCGACTTCGTCTCGGAGCCCGAGGCGGCGAGGCGGCGAGTCAACGCGTTCGTGAGCGAAGCGACGAAAGGGCTCATCGGCGACGTCCTGCCTCCCGGCTCCGTCAACTCGTCCACGGTGCTCGTCCTCGCCAACGCTATCTACTTCAAGGGGACGTGGGCTCGGCCGTTCGATCGGTCGAGAACCATCGCCGCGCCGTTCCATCTCCCCGACGGCGCCACCGTGCGCGCGCCGTTCATGACCACGAGTTTTTTCAAGGAGCAGCAGGTCGCCGTGTTCCCCGGCTTCAAGGCACTCAAGCTGCCCTACAAGAACGACGGCGGCGGGCGGCAGGCGGCGTTCTACATGCTTCTACTCCTCCCCGACGGTGCGGCTCTTAAGATCAGTGATCTCTACGATAAGGCCGTCTCGACGCCGGGGTTCATCAGGAGGCATACGCCGGTGGACGAGGTCCCGGTAGGGCGGTTCATGGTGCCAAAGTTCAAGTTCACGTTCGAGTTTGAGGCGTCCGGCGATATCCAGAAGCTGGGAGTCAACCGAGCCTTTGCCGGCGGCGACTTCTCCGGCATGGTGTCCGGTGGAAACGGGCTCTTCATCTCAGGAGTGTACCACAAGGCCACCGTAGAGGTGGACGAGGTCGGCACCGTGGCCGCCGCGGCCACGGCCATGTGCATGCAAGAGTGTGCAAGGATGGGTCCACCGCCGGTAGATTTCGTGGCGGACCGGCCCTTCTTGTTTGCCATCGTGGAGGAGAGGAGTGGCGTCCTGCTGTTCCTTGGGCATGTGGTGAACCCTCTGGTTGGATGATGATGCTCAAGCCTGAAGGAAGAGAGAACTCATTAGTACTATATGACTTTGTGCAGGAATAACAGAATAGAAGAGACTGTATCTTTGTATGTGCCAAGTAATCTGAAGAATTTGCGCGTGTGCTACGTTTGTATCACGAAATCTTTTGAATACACTGAAATTTATACCACTCGCCACAATATTGAATCGTTCATCTGCAGGCAGTTGGCCCTGTTCGGCTTACCCCATATTCGGCTTGTTCGGCTTCTTTTTTCAGCCGGAACAGTGTTTTTCTCTCGCAACAATTTAGCCGGAGCAGTGTTTTTCAGCCAAGTTCAACAACAGAAGTGCATTTCTTTTCTTTTTCCCTTCCCATCCTCTCACCAATATAAATAACGAAAAAAGTTACACTTAACAATTCTGCTACAGTCATGATACAACTGTGTTTACAACTTCCGTGAACTGTCAGTAGTTCACTAGTTCAAAAGCCATGTTTACAACTCTACAAACCACACAGTAACATTGTGAGAGCACAGAACAAAAATATGTTAAACGCCGGCAGGCAAAGGCAGCACCAGGCCAGGTCACACACCAAAGGTTTGTCAGATAACATACATTCATATCAGTTAAGATCAGGGCTCGTCCATCGTCTGAACCGGAGGTGGAGTCACATGAGTTGCTGATGAGCTACTGCCTGTTCTCTCACGGATCTCCCTGTACTCCTGGCATATAGCACACAAGTGACAGAATAAGTGTGTCGTCAAATCGCCACAGGGTGCTTCCTGCATAGGAAAAACATTCCAGGGTGAGCAAGAAAAAAGTATTAACCCGTCATCAGAGAGACAAAAAAAAGTTCACACTAATGGTAAATGACAGTAGAATATTAAAACTCCGCAAAATTTTGTTGTAGTACATCAGAAATCAGAATGATCTACAGCCGAAACCCCAAATAAACTAATTTCTAGAGGTAGTCAACCACATTTCTATGAATTCATCATATTCATAGCAAATGGCCATGTAAAACTTTCAAAGCATCCAGTTACAAAAGCCACCGTATCATTGACAGTGACTTTGTGCAATGCAATTGCAAACACAATAGCTGTAAAGGGATACAAGAACATGTCCCTAATAATTATATTTAAACAGCTTATCAAGTTATCATCTACTTTAGGGATAGAAAAGGCACATCGACTATATGATAGAGCTCACTATTAGAAACAGTGGAGGATGTTTCCCTAATGCCCTGTATGAAGGCCTAGTATGTCACTAGTATATTTAAACACAAAAATAAAAATCATATGCAGCACTACTCATCTGCTCCCCATAGCCAAATTACAGTAGTTGAGAAAAAGCTGCAGGATATTAAGAAAATTGCCTCTGATTGCCAATATGCAGGGTAAAATATATAAAAAAACACTAATATAACAACCGCAGAGGTTGAAACCACATACCGGAAGATTGTACTTTGTTCTTAGTGCACTGCGATATCCGCAAGCATAACAAGCAACGGCAGACCCTGGAACTGCTAATACTAGACCTCCAGTAAATACACAACATAGACTTGTAAGAAGGCCCCACAACATGCAATGTGTAGTGCATGATCCAGCAAGAGTTCCAGATCCCAAGAATTGTGCATTCTTTCCAAAAAGAAAACAGGGGCAAGTCGCACCAATACAACCTAGAAAAATGGGCAGAAGATATTGTTATGCGAGTAAATGGGATTTTTCAGTATTACAAGATTATGCATTGGATGATGACACCTCCAAACTGGATTGAATAAATATAGAGTACCCAATAGATAGACAAAAGATGTTCTATTCAAGTACAGTTCCATCTTACTAGCCCCCCATTCAGAGGGTTAGGACTTAGGATCCTAGTGCTGCTGTTGGTCGCCCATCGAAACAGACACGGGCGCGCTTATATCCTAAGGATCAGAGAGTTTGGGGGTTTTTGTGTGAGTTGGCGTGAGTTGGTGTGAGTGTGTGGGCTTGCCTTTTGGCTGGCCTGGGGTGTGTTGTATGGGTTCTTTCCCATTTTTCACTTCTTAATATAATGATGCGCAGCTCTCCTGCGTTTTTCGAGAAAAAAAAGAGTTCCATCTGACTAACATGCTGTTTGGTTGGTCCTAGTTACCATGGCTACATTTTGTTGTCGCCTTCTCAGTTGAGCAAATTTATAAACCACCGATAAACAAAGCATCAGGGAATAATTAGGAATGAGCATTTTATCCAAACTTCTTATTTTTATACTTATGACACGCTGACGCTTAAAGCTACATAACTTTACTTATGAAATGTCGCAGCAGAAACCTAATTATTTTAACTTATTATATGTAAAGCCAGACAGAGACAGCTACATATTAGGAAACACTTCACTACTATTATTTCGAATGACAACTCAAAGGAGCAACAAGCATGATAATACCGAATATTAATTTGCTTTGTTGAAGCAGTGTAAGATCTATATCATCCCAATCCTACAGTATTTTGTTGAACTTGAAAAAGAAAATCAAAGTCAGCTGCGTAAGATTGGGCAGATGGTAGCTAGCAGTATTCACCATGAGTAGTTCCGACCTTTCCAATTTTTTATTACCCATAAATGAGAGGGCGACATTAGGTTATTGATAGCTTCCTAGAAACAAGAACACAAATAGGTATTCTCCACTGTCACAACCCATTCATTCACTCATTCTCACATGTTTACAATGTTTGCAATACTAGTAAGGAAAAGAGCAGTAGTAGGACTGCTTTCATATTGCACTACCAGAATAAGAATCTATGGAACCTTACTGTATTACTTCCCTAAAAAAACAGCTAGCTCATAGTGATATGTGTGCAGTGCGCTAGATGAGTAATGAATTGAACAGATTGAACACATCACATGTATGCCAAGTATCATGCAGAGATATTGTTATTTATCTACAAGAACTAGTTCAGCCAAAAAATCCACCACTAAGCAATACTAGTAAGGAAAACAGGCAAGAAGGGTTACAGATTAATAAGGAATATTATCCTAATATATCATAGCTGAATTCAAATATTTCTCTCTGAAGCACAGATTCATCATTATTACACTACATAAACACAAGAACATGCTACATTTGGTATGTAGAGAAAAGAAAAGCATTACATTTTAGTGTTTACTTGCTATATACAACCTAACATGCAACCAAATAGCACCTTTTATATTTTCTTCTGTAAATCAAGGATCACAGATTAGAAAGTGGCATACAGCTCTGGGGATCATCAAAACAGGCACAGATGCCAGATGACCATTGTGTTGGATCCCGGTTTAGTTTATGGCGCGCAGCATGGTTCTCTTCCACAGCAGGGACACGATCCTCTTCAGTATCTAGGCCGTATAACGGGATATATTGTGGAGGAACATAGCTTCCTTTTCCAGCCATCCCTGTGAGAAAAAAAGAGGGGGATGGTCTCATGAAAAAACATTAAGGCTTCAGATTGCACGCATATGATTGTATACCACAAGGACAACAGGAAACTGGTATGTCCCAGAAAATAAAATAAACATATTGTCTACACGAGGGCAACTGTTGTTTTTGTTTTATGATCTATATATATTCGAACTGAAGGGCAGGCCTGGTGCAGTGGTGAGAGCTGTCTCACTGAGTCACCATGTCGCGGGTTCGAAGTAGCCTCTCCGCAGATTTTGCGGGGGGAAGGCTAGCCTCGGTTTTTCCCTTCCCCAGACCCCACTCATGTGGGAGCCTCCGGCACAGGGTCCCTTATATATTCGAACTATTTCTGATAAACTAGAAGATGGATCCACGGAATTTAACTCCCAATTTCCGGGAACTGATTCCCTTTGTAAAGTGAATCAAGAAGCTGTCCGTTTGACAAGTTACCTGGGTCAGGCGCGGCGGAGAGGACGGCACAGATGGAGACAGAGGCGAATCAGGCCGTGGAGAGGGGTGACGGCAGCCTACTGCAGCCAGGCATGGGCGGAGAGAGGCGAATTTGAGGAGCAATTTTTTTTTCAGCTCCCCACGTAAGAAAAAATCCTTCAAATTCTCACATGGAGCTGGCCGGCAAAATGCGTTCTACCAAACAGACCCTAGTTACACCATCCAACAGACAGGGCAATGAAATCAAACAAATAAAATAATTAGAAATTATAGATGTAAAATCAAACAGACGCTAGTTTCATGATCCAACAGACAGAGCAATGAAATCAAACAAAGAATTGAGTTAGAAATTATAGATGTAAAATCATAAATCTAAGAAACCTTAACAGATAATTCGATCCCACCTATTTACAGACAGAACAAATGCTATTACAGGAGATAATTAAAATAATAAACACAGTACAAGAGTACGGAAACGGGAGATTGGCATGTGATGTGTAGTTCACCAAAAAAAAAAAGATGGTAGCCCTTCAAGCTAGGACCCCAAATTTGCTTTGCTTGCGCCAACCCGCAGCTTCGTCTTCTCCAATCCCCGCCCTAAACGTTCGTCCCCAACGAATGCTTCGCCCTGCACATTCAGCGCATGCGTGGGCCGAGCCGGATTGCGGTCGGCAAGGAGTCAGACGATAGCATGAGAGATCTGGGGAAAGCACGAGCATCGGAATGACGCAGCACAGAGATGGCGGATCCAGAGCGGGAGGAAGGACAGCAAATGAAATGAGTGGGAGGTTAGCTCCGACTTCCGAGCCACGCGCCGTACCTGCTCTACGCCTCGGCAGGAATTCCTCGCGACGGACGAAAAGGGCGGAGGCCGTCCCGCGTCCAAAAACTGCAAAGGCGGCTTCCTTCAGTTGGGCAGGGAGAAAGAATGAAGACACGCGCAGGGGTCAGGCGGTGACGACGAGACAAGCTGACTTCTAGAAGGTCAGCTTTGAGATTCGTGCACGTCCTTGATCCACAAAGGCATCATGGAATTATGGAGCAAGAACCTTGGTTCACAAAATCTGGGGCTCACGACTTTCATATACATTTAAAATAGCGAAGGACTGCTTCAAAAAAAATAGCGAAGGACTGCTTCAAAAAAATAGCGAAGGACCTGTTCCTGCTACGAAGATCATCCATCATTGGAAACGGGAAATCAATGGAAGTTTGCTTAAACCAAAGACAACAGCACAAGCCTTTCCAAGGTTCAAACAAACAATTGCACAACAAAATACTGTTGAAATTCCATGTGTTCATAGCACAAACTAACCACCTACCACATGTCACTGGACTAGGACCTAGGAAGACGCCAGGCTACCAACAAACAATTGTTAGATTTACAGTGTGTACATGACAGCCCTAGACCAAAACTAGATTGAGCACAAAGAGTGGACGGTCAAGTGAATCACGTAGCAAATAGAAACACAAGGCTTCCACAACTCAGGCCTGAAAACCTGCGGTTCCTGGAGAGACCGGTTCATGGCCATGGACCCGGAGGCGGTAGATGCATGTCAGCAGCGAGCTTCCGTGATTCGAAGTGAAATCCAACCGGATCATATTGATCACGCCTACATCTGGGGCTGACACATCAAATGTCTGCACATTGTTCTTCTCCAAGTCATACGTGAACTCCGCCAAAGCCATCTTTGCAGCATAACCCGATTGGGTCTCACCAGGAGTCTCCTCGTACCATCCAGACACCAGACAGTCTTTTGGAGCTGTAGACCTGTCATACGCCACATCCTGCATGTCATGCACCAGAGCAAGTGTTCATGCTAGCTTCAGAACTAACATGTGTAGTTTTCACTATGGTCAAATAAAGATGATAAATGCATGCACTCGATAGCCATTTTATATTTTTGGTTCCAAGGAATTGAGAGGAATTGGAAAGTAATCTAATAATGAAATGGGAAGCACTTTCTAGTTATTAGTTTCAATTCATGGGATCCAAACAGGGGACTAACAAATTTTATGTTTACCAAACTACAGATAAATCCCCATAAAGCTGGCAATTTAGATGATGCTTATTAGAGTTTTTCCCCCTTCTCTGTCAAGATAACCACCAGCACTCTACCAGCTGAACAAGTGGGCTCAGCATTGCCATCTTAGATAAAACAAAGAGGAAGTAATTCCTTGCATAGCTATTTACATAGTGCCAATATTGCTAAGAGACAGTTACATTTTTTTCCCTTTCTGTTTGAAATGCGACAGTAACAGTTAACAGGACACGAGAGCAAAAGTTCATTCAAAAGAAGCAACAATCAAGAGGAAACAAACCACGAAGCATCATTTGACATACAGTCTGGAAGAGCATGGAAGTGAATACTTAACTTAAAAATCAAAATGGACAACATAAAGAGGAGATTGTTCAAAGATAAATGAAGTTTCTCTTCATAGTATGACACTTACAATACTAATCTAACAATACAAGTTCATTTGTTCCCAATAGTTACCAACAAAAACTGTCAACGTAATACAAGAGTACCCAGGTTTCGAACAATAAGTATTCAGTTAGCACATTACCGAAACTATATAAAGGTCATGATCTGGAACAATTATTGTACTACACGCTAGCCCATTGCAAGAAGTAATTGCAATTATCAAATCATTGCAAGATTGATAACAAGGAAAAAACAAGTTGAGTAGTACTATTTCATAATTTTCCCAACAGGAAAAGAAAGTGGAAAATGCAATTCACTTCAAATCAGACAAATGATTCGCAGAGGTGACAAACCATTTTTCCATTTCTCAATTATATAATAAAATGCATTGGACTAGAGCTTAATCAGTATCACAATTCACAAATATTTACAAATGAGAATAGCAAGTATTGTTTACCAAGATGAAAAGGAAAGCAAGCAAAGCAAGCCAATTCAAGAACACAGCACAGCTTCATATTAATACATGATTTAAAAGAGTCAGTCTTGTTCAGTTTTCACTTTTCAGTAAGGATACATCGAGAAAGAAAATTTCCTAGCACCAGCATTGATTGCAAAAATAAGATTCATTCTTCCTTTACTGGCTTATGCATGCAATGATGATGCCCATAAACATGGAATAATAATTACAAGCCGATTCAAATTTAACATGAAATGCTTAGGACTGTAATCATGAAACATAATTTGAGGGGCTTCTATCTGCAATTGAATACAATTGGACTCAATGCTACAAACATAATGCATTAAGCCCATCAAGAAACTAATCTAAACTTTTAACAAGCAGTAAGTTCAGTAACTGGTGGCGCATCCTACATTACTACATTCGTACTTAGACAATGTCATCCACTGCTTATAATAACATTTAAAAGACAAAAAAAAAAGCAATAATTAAGAGCATAGCCATGCAAGACTAAAATGTTGGGTGGCCAAAAACCTTACCTTAGACACATGCTCAAGTGTTACTGCCTCAGGAAGTATTCCAGACTTGAGCTTGATCTCAACAAACCCACTGCTACCCTGCATGGCAAAGCACTGTCCAGGCTCCCCAAAGCTCGGTTGAAGCATCTTCTCTGGCTTCGGCCCCACGTCACCTCCAGGCATCCAGCCCATCAAACCACCACGTTTAGGCAAATAGGCCTCCGAATGCCGGACAACTCTTCCCCCACCTGAGGCCACGGCGTAGTCAACCCTGCCGATCCCATCTGCGGCATGCTTCTCAATCTCCCTCATGACGATCTCCCTGGCCAACGCACGAACCTGGTCCAGATCAACCTCGCTCCCGGAACCCGAGCCGAGACTCCCCTTCAACTCGTCCCAGAACTTCTCAAACTCGTCCTTCCGGAGGAACTCCATCCGCTTGAGCCCGTCCAGCGCGTCGCCGAGCTCACCGGCCCTGGCGTCGAGGCGGGTGAGTTGGCCCTCGAGCGCGAGCCGCTTCTCCTCCAGCAGAGAGAGAAGGTCGCCCCTGGCGGCGCCGACCTCGCCGTCGATCTTGCGGTCGACGGCCTCGAGCTGCACCTGGATCATCCGGAAGGTGCGGGCGAGGGAGGCCTCGACCTCGTCGACGCGGGCGGCGTAGCCCTCGAGCGCGGCGCGGTCGGGCGGCGGGGAGGGCGGGGGCGGGTGGGACCAGCGCCAGGCGAGGCCCCCGAGATAGAGCAGCGCGGCGAGGAGGGTCGCGTTCTTGGCGGCGATGCTGAGCACGGTCTGCCACCGCGGCCGGGGCGGGTGGGAGGTCTTTTTGCGGCGCGCGTGCGGAGCGGACGCGGCAGCGGCGGCGGCGGCGGTGGCGGCAGTTGAGGAGAGGAGCGGGGGCGTAGGGGAGGCAGGGTGCGGACGGTGGTCGAGGAGGAGGACCGACCGCTTGCGCGGGGCGGCGGCGGTGGCGGCGCCTCCGGGGGCGGGGCGGGAGGCGAGGGGGATGGCGTCTAGGGTTAGTGGGGAGGAGGCGGGGCTGGTGGCCGCGGCAGCGAGGGAGGGGGACGCCATGGGACGGAGGGCGCGGCGGAGGCGGTTGGGGTTCGGGGGGGAGCCGTGGGGGGAAATCCGAATGCGAATGCGAATGCTGGGGAAATTTGGGGGGAGCGGGGGGAAGACGAGAGCGCACAGCGCACGCACCGAACCGGCGCGGCGCTTCTTCGGCTGCCCTGTCAGGCTGAGGCTGGCAGTTCCTCCTCCCTTCCTTCAGGCGTCAACTCACTGACGTGGTGGGGACGCTCATTTGGCCAGATCAGATCAAATCGGTTTTCCTGTGGGTTATTCATTGTTCATTCCAGGAAACTTCCGTGTGTGTTAAAAAAAAAATTCCTTGACATTACTAAAAACAAATTCCTTCGTGACATTTTGGTTTCCAGTCGGACCGACCTTGTCCAATATTTAATGAACCGAGCCGGTGTCTCGGAGTACATGGACAGAATTGGACGGTCCTGTTTCCTTCACGGAAAAGATAAGCTAAAAAATACTGTTCGCTGATTTGTTATGAGAGAAAAATACACTATTTATTCGCTGAAAAAGTATGACTGAAAAATAAGCGAACGTATGACATTTTTCTTTGAAGTATACAACACATAAGCCATAAATCATGCGTACATTCAACCCTATAAACACGTCCATACAAAACCTATCATAATGAGACACGACGTTAGCTACGAGAGACACAAATCGAAATGTCATGATAGTTCAAAGATCAAATAGATTCTATCAAAAGCCACTACAAGATGTCTGTCAGGTGCGAGAGAGATAAATCGAATTAAACTGATATCAAATGATTTCTTTTACCAACAGAACTATAGAAGTGTTTAAAAAAACCAAATACTTTTGTGAAAAAGGGATGCGATTTAAAATCTTGAAATATGATCTAATCTAGAAAAATTATAGAAAATGCGTTTAGCCTGAAGAGCTATAAAAGCGGTTTAATTTTCCTTTGTAAAATAATGCTTTTATATTACTAAACCTTGTTTGGAATTATTTAAATCTTACATGGTCTCTTAAAGTTGAGGAGAGAAATTCCGCTGGAATTTGAACCCCCTTGCCTTTTGATGAGTTTGGGCGTTCGATGCTAGGCCAAATGGACATGTACATAGTTTTCTGCCCGGAAAAGGTCCTCTCAATGCCCTCAACTATGTCTATGCTTGAGACATGATTTTCTCCTCCTCCAGCTCTCTGAAACCATATGTTTGTCCCTTCTTCATCTTTTAAAACATTTGTTTTTGTTTCAACCTGATGCCTACGTGACGTCATGTCGGTTGTCCTATTTGATGCTATGTCAGTTGTAAGGGTGATAGATTGGACTGCTTTAATAATTTATAGGTCAAATGGACTTTATGAAAAGTTATACCACTATTTTTTATAGAAAATATCCAAATATTTTTCATGGGAAATTATGTAATTAAAAAAACTATTTTTCCTTACATCCTGCTGCCAAGTTTGGAGTTACTTAAATCTTTTACGGTCCATTTTTTGGTGTTTAATTATGCTCTCGCTAGCTATTACTATTAGTCAACGATCCAAACTACATAAAAAGACCAAGTGACTTCAATAGCCTAAATGCACATGTCTAAATAGAATCAAGTATGGAGTGGTTACATGACACTTCTAGGTAGCTAAGGACCTCTACAATCAGGTCACAGTGTCAGAGCCGCCAACGGCCCTTTTGGTGTTTAATTATGCTCTCGTTATCTATTACTATTAGTCGACGATCCAAACTACGTAAAAGGCCAAGTGACTTCAACAACCTAAATGCACGTCTAAATAGAATCAACTCAAGTATGGAGTAGTTACATGACACTTCCAGGTAGCTAAAGGACCTCAACAACCAAGTCATTGTGTCGGAGCCCGCTAAATACAAGAATGCCATAAGCTCATCTGAGCTATGGTGGTACTGGTTACTTAGTTAAGTGGTAATCCGTGAAGTAGAGTTCTTAACCTGTAGGCTTAAGCAAATCAACCTCGGCAATTGATGGAGATACCATCCACATACTCCACTAGTACATAACCAGGATTCAATCGCGAAGTATACCACCATGATTAGCACGTTTCGAGATTCAATACCATTGAAAGGTATATACATTCAGTGGAAGTACTTATGAAAACTAATCCAGACTATCTATCTAACATAGCTATGACATGATAGTGAATTTTGAGAACCCATGAGACTTCACTGATCTAATATTCAGCATGACTGGCGACTGATCACCTTCACGATCTTAGTATGCTTGGCGTGTATGCGTCTTCGTATGTGCGACCAGAATGCACTGGTTGGGTTAGTGTTTATTTTTTTAATCAATTGGTGCATTTTATCAGACTGACTAATTGTAGCAAAAATAACAATAACAATATAACCATCGTAAGCATATACTCCCTTCGTTCCAGATTATAAGACGTTTTAGTTTTTCTAGATTCATAACTTTTACTACATATCTAGATATATGTTATGCCTAGATTCATAGTATGCCAAAACGTCTTATAGCTTAGGACGGAGAGAATAACAGTTGTCAGATGTGCATTTCCAAACAACATGAAATAGAAAGCATCAAAATTATAATTATGTAATCATTTAATAATGCTAATGCAATCGAACCAAAGGTCTAATATTCTAATTCATTAGCTTTGCCTGTATTTGGGATCACAAGGCACAACGGTGAAGTAGCATGTATGTATAACATCGTGAGAACTTCTATACATATGCTTTTACATGCCAAAGACCTCAAAGCTTATATAGCAAGCAAAAGACCTCAACTGCGTTTCATTCTCGTACAGGGACACCAAAGCAATACAAATTGCCACCTACAAAGTGTGTATCAGATCATTGTAGGGCCTGTTTGGATCAAAGGATTTTTAAAGGAACAAATTCCGAAGGAAAGGAATCAGTTCATTGTCTTTGGAATGAAGGGATATTGAGTTCTTTCTAAAGGAAAGGAAACCATAGTAGTGCAAACATTGGAAAGAAAACATCCACTATTCATCACTCTATCTTATTCATGATTTTTTTTTCATTCCTCTATTTTGTATTCCTGGGTCCCAAACAGACCCTAGAGCCAGTGAATACAAGATTTCTATTGCAGTGTGAGGCATAATGGATCCAGCAATCCACCATCAATAGAAAAGGTGAGGCATCCAAATGCTTAACCTTCTGTAAGAATCACTAATCAATTTACGATGCCTACTCAGATTGACCCATGAGGCAAATATTGTAGCATACAAGAAACATGTGGGTTACCATATTCAAACCTATTTACTTTGGGTATTCTTTCACTTGTTTTCAAATATATAAATCAAAATTAGCTTAAGAAATGGATCCATTGCAATGCAAAACATGGAAACACTAGTTGCTTCCTCTTTTAAGGGATATTAGACCTTCGTCATCAGGTATGCGGCACCATCGAGTCATCCCATGTCAGGCTCATGCCTCACTAATAAAAGAAGAAGCATTCAAAGGACATTTGATCCGAGAAACAAGAAGTGCATAGGAAAAAAAGAGCAAAATATGTTTAAATGCTTTGAAGCCATTACATTAAATATGAAATTAACAGGAGACACTTATGGCTCTTTGATTTTTAAACTATATAAAGCAACTTAGTAACACAAGTATGATAGCATGGATACCGACCACCCATACATTAAATAGGACTCGCCACCATTCAAAGTTCCAACTTTACCATGGATATGCTTAACATCTAATGGTACACCCTCTTAATAAAATTGTAGGGAAGGATTGATTGATGCAAGAACATGGAGGACACCAGTGATTTTGTGCTGCGAAGAGCCAGTGTTTTAAATCTGAAATTTTTAATACAAAAAACAGTACATAGCATGATCCCTAGACTGGCACCATGATTGATCATGGTCACCACGATTCAGTTCCAACTGCATGTAACCGAGAACTTAGCCACTTCTTGTAATTAAACAGCTTCAAAGCAACTGAATAAAACAAAAAATCTGGATAATGCATGACCTATCTAACAAAAACCACAAAAGAAAAGTCGGTGTTCACTTCATAAAGTTGCAGGCAGAAATCCATATGGAAGAGCAAAGAAGTTTCAAATGCATGATCTTGTGAGAGAGATATAACAATATCAAAGCTGAGAAGTTCTCTGTTCTTAACTTCTTATGGATGATCCTCGTGCAACAGAACTTGGTGGTGAAGCGCATTACATTTCCAAAAAGATGGGATACTGTAGAAGCTGGTGTTGGTGCTGAAACCATCCGACCCTTATTTTTCATTTGATAAGGAGTTAGCACTGTCTGAACCCTTATTTCATTTGAATATGTTCGAATATGTGCATGGGAACGGTCTTTCTCCCACTGGACAAGTTTTTTTTAAAAAAAAAAATAAGAAAAAAAAACATTCATTTTGGTGTTGGTGGTATTGCTGTTGCATGTGTGGTGGCTGGTGGAGGAGCAGGACAGTGTACTCTTTTTGTACTCCCTCTGTCCATTGAAGTGAGCCAGATTCTGGGGGAGACAAGCCTTGTAAATTGGTACAGATGAGCACCATCTTAAAAGTACTTCGAATACTAATCTATTGGTACAATTTTAATATACTAAGCATGCATATAATTTGACTAATTGTTGGTCAAAACTTGTAAAAAGATTGACTTTTCCCTAGTCCATAGTTAAAATAGACCTTAAATTGAAGGACAGAGGGACTGAGTACTTGCATTGCGACTTGGAATGGTCTGTATGTTGCAAGTTCAATATTTTGAAACAAATACAAATGTGAACTTTTCTTTTTAACTTGTCTACTTGTCTCCTAGTGTGGAACTATCAAAGTCTACATTACAAACAGCCAATTCTATATCTACAGTCCTTCCAGCTTGCACATTTGTAAACTGAATTTTCTCTATTATTAACTCTAACTGTGTAAAGAATTCGACGCATATTTCTCTTCACTATATTTTTAAGATATAACACATATTTGGCTTGCATCTAACCTGTTGATGGTTGTTGCATTTCATATATATAGTTGGCCAAAAGTCAAATTCAAACAC